AGCATTCGGCGGCTCCGAAGGGTCGAGTTTGCAAAGAGTGCGGCTTGCAACCTGCACCCTGGGGGGCGGCCGAGGACCTCAACAGAGCTCCCCACCGCGGCCCGAGGAGGCCCGACGAGGGCAACGCGGTGCTCCCCCAACCCCCAAACGACCCAGATCGCAGACCACACCACGGCGAGACTTCACCCTTTGTAGTCGCCGAAGGAAGCATGGCCCAGACCCCAACGACGCAGATCGCAAACCACACGACAGCGAAAATTCACCCTCTGTAGTCGCCGGAGCATGGGAAGCATGGCCCCCTCTCCTTCCCCGAGGTCGCCGATCCGATCCGGCTGGCGCGGGATGCGTGCGCGCGCCGAGGCAGGAGCCCACAGCCTTGCCGGCAGCCTCCCCGGGCCTCTCGCAGCGAGGCCTGGCGGCAAGCGGGCGTGTGGCGGCCCGCCCTTGGGCGACGCCGCCCTCGGCTGTCCGTGGTGGCCGACCACTGGGGAGGGAGGCTCGGGTCGGACGCAAAGGGTGGTGACCGCAAAGGGTGGGTCTCTGTGGAAAACGCTGGGGGGGCGCTTCCACCTCTTTCGGCTCTGCAGTAGTACTCGACCAGCCAGAAGCGAAAAGCAACGGCAGCACACCCTCCCCCCAAAAACAAAAGCGGCTGCACAGAACTGAACCGAACCCAGAACGGCGCGAACGAGACTGCCACGACGGAAAAAGCACGCACCTCCGCCCCCCCTCCAAACAAAAAACGTCGATCTGTTTGGACGCCCGAAATGGGTACGGAAAGAATGGGTACAATGCCCAACAACAAATGTCGCCCCAAACCAACAGCGGCCGCTGTTGGGCAGGCGGCCTCCTGTCTCAAATGCACACCGGCCGCGGCGACACCGACAGCGAGTCCGGTTCAAAATGAGCAGGAACTGCTGCTGGGCACTGTACCCATTCCTTCCGTACCCTTTTCCGCTCGTGCAGAACCTTCAGATCGTTGGAGGCCTGGAAATGAGCACCAACACCAACACAGGGGGTTTTCCTCCACAGGGGGAAGATGATCCTAGATTTCGGTGTTGGTGGTAATATTTCGGTCACCTTGGAAGCCAGAATATTACCACCATCACCGAGATCGGGATCGTCTTCCCTCGGTGGAGGCACACCGCTGATCTTGGTGTTGGTGTCAACCTCTGGGCCTGCGAATCGACCGGAAACAGAGCACCGCCACCCGTGCTTCTGGCACCACCCGCACGGTGGCTCCGCGAATCGGCCCGCGCAGCCCGTCCTCCCGGCGCCTCCCGGCGCCGGGAGGCGCCCCGGGGCGGGGTCCCGAGACCGGCCGCACGGGGCAGGTTTTGTGCCCCCCCCCCTTGCCTTATAGTCGGCCTTGGTTGGGCAGGACACGCGAGAGGACACAGGACTTCTGCTGCTCCCAGCCTGCTGAAGGGCCGCATCCCAGAAATGATTTCGAGCACCCGGGAACGTGACAAAAGAGTGGCGAGACAGTGTCGAAACAGTGTCGGGCGAGTGTCTCCCAGGGCCCGACACGTGAAAACCCTTGAGTTTTGGGGTGTCTTCCTGGTGCTCGAAGTTCTTCCTGGTGATCAAAGCTAAAGTCGGTTGGAACATCATAACACAAGACCCTTCCGAGGGCCACATTGCCACAGGAATGTGGGAAGCACGGGTCGCGAGACACTGGACACGAGGGCACCCTTGATGTGGCGGGGTCGACCTACTAATCGGGGCCGACTGTACCCACACCCCTCTCGTTCGACCCGAGGGGCGCCAGGCGGGAACGGCTGCGTGCTCCTCCGGGAGAGCAAACGCTATCCCGAGCGCGAAAGACACCTGCGCGCGTCGGTCGGAATATATATATATATATATATATATACATATACATACATACATACATACATACATACATACATACATACATACATACGTACGTACATACATACATACATACATGCATGCATGCATGCATGCATGCATGCATGCATGCATACATACATACATACATACATACATACATACATACCTGCATGCATGCGTGCATGCATACATATATACATGCATGCATGCATACAGACATACATACATACATACATATGTATATATACATACATACATACATACATACATACATACATACATACATACACACACACACATACATACATACATACATACATACATACATACATACATACATACATATACAGATATAGAGATAGATATATATATAGATATATATATATAGATACCGATATAGAAATGTAAGAACATGAATAGGAAGGCGGATCAAGTATACGTATTGCGTCCAGGCCCTCCCAGAGAATTACAAAACACAGCAAAACAAAAATCGATGATTGAAGTAGGAAGGCGCTTGAAGTAGATTGGAATCAGGGAGTCCAGAAATGTCTACTTCCAACAACCGGCGTGCACCCTTACCTAATTAAGCGGGGTGGCAAGGCGGTGGGGGGACGACGCGTGTCGCAGTTGACGGCAGCTGCGCAAGTGTAGAAGCGACGGCCGATTGTAGAGGGGAACAGGGACACACAAATAGATAGATACGTCCCCCAAGACTCCCAATATTTTTCCATGCGTCCTGGGTATTCAATTTCCCCCCACACTTCCCATAGTTTCCCGTCTTTTCCTGGGAATCGACGATTATTCATGTCTGCGTGTTTGCTCCCCTCCTGAGAGTTGATAGTAAAGGAAGCTTCTCCAGGCACCTGCTGTCACCGAAGGCACCCGCGCTCGAGTCGGCGTGATGACCGACACTGCGGTCACTGCTGCCGTGCTGGGCCAGCTCGTCCTGAGGTGCGCCTGCGGGGGCACATGTCCAGGCTTTTTCGGGCGTCGGCGCGCCCTCGGGGACGCACGCGAACCAGTCTGGCGCCCACGCCAGCGCACGACAGCCACGAAACCGCGACTTGCTCGATGCAGAAGCACCGCGACTCCGAGCGCTGCACGAGGTCGCCTGGCAGCCCCCTGGACGGTGCCCGCCCAGAAGCACCCCACCGATGTGCGGGTATGAGCTGGGGGGCACACGCGTCGCGCGTGCCGCCCGAATCATACCTGTACCCAGTCGAAGTGAGGCTTGGCCGAAACCTTTGTGGACGAACGCCCTCCCCAACGCGGCCGCTGCGCCCCCCCCCCCAGGGGACGCGAGATTGCAACGTCGCTCCTGTGGGGAAGCCCAGACGCATTGGTTGCCAGGATCGGGGTGATCTTGTTTTCCTCAAGCGGGAAAAGCGCCGCCACTCCTGTGCGGCTTCAAACCACACGCGCACCCCGATGCCCCGAGACGCCCCTAACAAAACTCAGCACCTGTTGCAGCCATCAAACAGCCAGCCATCCAGCTTGTCGTTGCATCTTGACGCGCGGATGTCGAACAGGCGCGCATGCAGCGGGATTATCGGGCGCAAAGGCACGCGCACAATCCCGCGGGCGGCCCATCTCACACTGGCTGACCCTGGGTAAGGTTAGCCGGGGGGGCTCGTCTACGGCTGGCTGCCGCGGCTGCCGCGCTCTTGAAGCGGTTGGTCACGCTTGCGATCGTGAGCAAGCCAACGCTTGCACCATTCTGGAATGGGCGGCGCCAGATGTCTACTCAGACGCCAGTCGCAACAGACGCCAGTCTGGCGCCTACCCGATTCTCGCGGCCAGGGTGCAGCTCGCCGAGGCTGCTTATATGCGCACGCGCCGGGGTAAGATGCTTTCGCCCCGCCCGCACACAAGATGTTACAGCCTGGGCCGGTCAAGGGCACCAGCGACCCCAAAGCGTGGCTCCAGGAACCGACTGCGACTACGACTGCGACCCGCATTGCGCTCCCTGTGCTTGCCGAGGGAATGGACCGAAGCGTCCACAACAGCTTAGAGTGGCTTTAGACAGCTCCCAAGCATCTCGCGCCGACTCGATTGCGGGTGATGCCATAGGTCTGGGGAAGCAGGCGTCTACCACGAGCACACCGCCAACCACAATCGCACGAGCGAGCCCCACAGGCCACCGCCACTGGCCCCCATGAGCGCACCGCCGCAGCCACCACTCACGAGGGCCATCTCTGGCCGTGAGGCGATCCGAGGGCGGCCGCGGGCGCGCAGAAAGGGCTCCTCCCCGCGTGTGCGCGACTTGCACTCTTGCCAGGGGGAGGCAAGACCAGGTGGAGCGTGGCCGAAGAGCGGGTTCCATCACCGCGCGAACCCGTTGGGGTGGGGCAGGCCCGCACCCTGGTGCCGAGCACGCGGTAGAGCAGGAAGGTGGAGGGCAGGGCAGGGCAGGACAGCCCGAAGACAGCTGAGGGCACGGTCATGTTCAGCCCGAGGGGAGGCCAGCACACGCCTCACACGGGAAGCCGAGCACGCCTCGAAAACCGGGGGGACAGGCCGCCCAGGCGCACCGCCTCCTCCATGATCTTGGCGACCCTCAAGAGTGCCACGACGGCACCAAGGACGAGGCCGAGGACGGGGCGGCGAGAAGGACGAGCCGGCGAGCGAACGGCGCAGGTGCCAGGCCCGTGCCAATCTTGGACAGAGCGCGCGAGGCCGTAGCCTCACATCGTGATCCAGCGGAGTGCGTGCACGAAGTAGCTTACGACGAGAAGGGAGAAGAAAGGAACAAAAACAACAAGCATACCCTGTCAGTACCCTGGTAGCAGCAAAGGTGCAGAGGCAGGTAGAGGAGCAGGAAGTCGGCGAGTGAGAACGTGCATTCCAATGTGTGCCTAGGGATTCCCAAGAACGCTAACAGGTGGGACAGTACAACCGTGTGCACCTCAGTAAACCTTGTAGAAGGAATCGTGGCCGTTCGGACCACAAATGTAGTGGGCACATGCGAGAGCACGATGATTGTACGACCTGAACCTTAGTGTATGTCTTACCCAGGATCGTGGCCGTCAATACCCAAAATGTAGCCAACGTTGGGACGAGGGCACGATTCCTCATTACACTGTGAAGAAATATCAGGCGAAGCGGCCGCCGGGCCCCTGCTGAGAGAAAAGGAAATTTTGGGCTAAGAAGATGGACTTCACTCGAGGCGCTTTGTCAAACAGTAGTCCAGGTCAATATCTACAACATCTCTACGAAAAAAGGGGACCTCCGAGGAAACTGCCAGGGTGCAGTCCAGATTCTTGAATCTCTTACACGAAATCTGGAGTCCAGGAAGTTTGCTGCGTTTTCTGAAGATTTCGGATGGGTGTAAAAAATCGAGGGACACACTAGACGTCGGTCTTTGAGTTCCCTGATATGCTCAAATGACTATGTGGGAGCCAAGAGCCGTCGGGGGCAGAGAAATGTCCAGGGGGGACCGGGTACCTGCAAGCAGGCCGGTTTCGCATTGGATGTGCCCACGGTGCTCCCCTCCATACCGCCGCTGCTGTGCTGCCTGCTGCATGCTGCCTCCCCCACTTCGGCAAGTCCCTTGCGAGGATCGTGCTCCAATAAAGACCTCACCTGACGGCCCCCAGAGAACTCGCTCCTCACAGCGTCCCCGCCTCCGCGCGGCACAACTCTCACGCGCATCGTGCCCAATCGGGAACTCCACTGGCGGCCCCAGTGAGCACATCTATGTGTGTGTATATATATATATATATATACCGTCCGAGCCACAGATTGGCCCACCCCTCGCTTCGATCGCGTGCAGAAAGCTCTACCCACATATCCAGTGAGCAAGCCCTTATAGCATTCCCGCCTCAACTCTGAACACCCTTCACACGGATCGCACCCCAAGGGACCTCTGTGCAGGAAAGGAGAATGAGGCAAGCATGAAGGAAGTAGGGAGGCACTGAAGGGCATTGGACGCTGCGCTTGGCTGCACCTTCGAACAAAAACTGCGAAGGCACCCACCAGCATGGCTGACAGCATGCTCCAGCACGGAGTCTGCGAGGCGGGGATTTATTCATATCCACCGCCTGGGAACCGACGCCCTGGTGCCCCAGCGGGCGGTGGATATGGATATATTTCGGCCCCCGGGGGCCGAAAATGTCCATATCCACCGCCTGCCGAGGCTCCGAAAACTGACACTCCAGGCGATGGTCATGTACAAATTCCCGCCTCGGAGAGTCCGCCAGGAGTGATCTGAGCGGTGGCGGTGCCCCTGACCAGGCCACGACAATGCACTGCCGGTGCGGTGCCTCAGTGCTCCTCCGAGCGCAGCCCGCCGTTGGCAAGAAGCGAGCTGCACACGCCGTTGCGGGGCCACCTCCTGGCCTCACGGAGCGCGAGGGCGAGGCGGCAGCCGAGAAAAGCGGCCAGCATGATCCGCCTGCGCGCCGGCAGCGGCTGCGTGCGTCGAACCCCGCTGCCACAACTCCGGGTGCCTCGGAGCACCCTTGGGCTCCCACTCGGGCCACGTGTCTGCACCACGCCTGCCACATGGATATGAGATGGGCCGCTCGCTTCAAACATGCGTGAAGATCGTGCTCTGGAGCCCCAGACATGCGGCCCCCGCGGGCGTGAGAACGCGCAAACCAGCCCAAGACTGGGGCCCTTGACAGAGCAAGTTGGCACGGCCGCCGCCGCCTGCCCCTGCCCCCCTGGACGGCCGCGAGGCCTCGAAGACAGCCCCAAGGCTTCCCTGGAATCGGCGGCGGGCCCAGGGGGAAGCCTCCAAACGGCCCTGAACAGCCCCACGAGGGCCCAGAGAGGCCCCAAAAACAATATCTTCAGGTCGAGCATGTCTCCCTACAGGCGGATTTTCGGCGAAAAATGCACCAAAATACTGCAAAAAAATCGCCCCCTGATTATTTTTTCTATTTTTGAGCATTCCACCTGTAGAGGGACAGGCCCTGATTAACAGCATCTCGAAACGTCACCCCAAGGGGGCGTGGAACCAGCGGCCTGCGCAGGGGGGAAGCGAGAAAAGGCGGGCCTTATCAGAAGGCTCGGAAGTCCCCCGGCCTTTTGAGTGGCGAAGGCTACAGAAAACTGCTCAGAAGGTGCGAGGGCTTCCGGGAAGTCCCGCCGCCTTCTGAGAAGGCCTTCTCCTTCTGACTTCCCCCCCCCCGCTCGCCGACGATTGAAACCACTAGGACCTCTCAAAGTAGCCGCGCAAGGGCAAGAGGAGGCCCCCTTGAATCCGTCTGGAGGCCCCTGGGAAACCAAAGAGCAAGGGAAACACACCTGGCGCGGTTCAAGGCCTTTACCTGGCGACCCCGCGAAATTCAAAATTTGCGCCGCTTGGCCCCCAGGTGGCATACCGGCTGTTCTGGACGGAGGTCCAATGGTCTAGGAGGCCATCTGGACGGCCCAAACATCCCAGCAAGACGGCCCCCAAACAACCTAAGACCTTCTAGAGACAGCCAGAGGACAGCCCAAGACCATTCGTAGTCCTGAGAAAGATGAGCCCAGGTCAACGTGTATGTTCAACGACCGAATGACTATGTTGTAAAAATACATTGGGATTTGAGGTTGGTCTCGTTACTTTAGTTGAAAGCTATCATTTAATTTGCGGTTCGAGTGGGCTTGAACTCATTTGTGTGTATATACACACACCATCTATGTATGTGTATATATATATATATATATATATATATATATATGCATACCTGTGCAAGCTTTCTTGTTGGGGCAACGGTTGCAATAACCAGGTCAGAAAACTGGCGAAAATAAGGAACGGGCTGGGACTTGAGCTGATGGTTTCTGGGGGTTGAAGAATGGAGTTCGGTTGCACTTGGAATTTGAGTCGGGAGTTACATGTCGATTCGGGACTGTAGTCGGGAGATGAATGTTTCATGTGGGGTCGAAGCGAGAATTTGATGTTGAGTCGGGCCTCGATTCGGGGTTTCATATTGAATTGGAGGTTGGACTGAAACTTTGACATTGAATTGAACGTGAGAGGTGGGGGCGAGATTTCCACGTGCGATCCGAGCGTAAGTATTCAACGCGTTTCCAATTGCTTCTCCGACGAATACCCGAAGTCGCAACTCGAATCGCAATGTGTTCCCCAATTCTCAAAAGAATCACCTTGCACCGCCAACTCACACCCCAACGGTGTCCTCACCAGATCGAGTACACGCTTGAAGGCCGCGCCCCGATCAGTCACAGACGGCCCCCAATATCACCACAGCGGCCCGAAGACCTCGCAAGACATCCCCAGTATCCCCAAAAGACCCCCCAGAGGACACCGAGAGGCCCCCGAAAGGCCCCGAAGAGGCACCGAAGAGACCGCACGTCTTTCTGCCCGCAGCGCTGGCGGACGCGAGCGCGACTGCAGAGCCGACGGGCCGCGCCGGACACTGGGCGCACCAGAGCGGGGGAAGAAAGCGCAGGACGGCCGCGGAGAAGGAGGGAGGAAGAAGGCAAAAGACCACACACACAAACACACACACACACAGGAGGCACCGCGACAACCCCGCAACGCTACGGCAGCGCCACGCAGCAGTGTAGCCACGGATCTTGCCGCAGCGCGGTGGCGGAGACGCGCGGCAGCGCACCTGGACAGCAGCGACCATGATCTCCCTCGTGTCCACCCTCGCGAAGGCAGCCTCGGGAGCGAGCGGCACGCCGTGGTTTGCAAAACGGTCCGACGAGAGTGAGGCTGTAACTGCGCCGGTGCCCCGGCCCTGGCTGCACACGAAGCTCGGCGGCGCGTGCCCGCTGAAGGGGTCAGGCGCAGCAACGTCCAGAGGCCACGAAATCATGTTTTTCAGGAACTGGTGGTGCGATACAATCATGACCCTTGACTGGTTGAACTCGGAGTTGAGCAGGCTCCACATGGCCTGGGCATTCTGTCTGCACGTTTCCGCATCAGGAGACCAATTGGACACCTCCTTTGCTTCCCAAAAATCGTACCAAGCTTTACTGAAGAAGCCGCGATACCCGCCGCTGGAGCTCTCGACGTAGGCTTTCACCCAATTCTTCACGCTTTTGTAGCCGAGGCAAGTAGCCCGAGTGTTGTTGTAATCTAGTGAGCCTCCGCCCCGCTGCGGAGGACAAGATGAGTTGAACCAAGTACTCGGGGGATGGCCCCAATCCTGGTGAATCTGCTGCGACCACGTGCCCCCTCCTATTTTGGAACCACTTATATCAGAGCACTCCTGCAGCAAGGGCATGAAGTAGAGCTTCGGCGGCGTGCTGGTCTGCAGCCAAGGCTTTGGTATTACGCCCATCGCTGTCTGTATGGTCCTCAACATCGGCGAGATGAAGACGACGTCTGGGGCGCCCAATGACGCCAATGCCTGGCTCCGCCCTTGCTCCTCAGCATCCTGCATCCCGTCCGCGGACAATGGCGAATCCTTGGCCGATTGAAAGACCAGGGTTAGTCAGACTGAGAGCTGGGGAATACAAGTGCTTGATGCGTGAGCGGGAAAGGCAGGAACGGAGGAGGGGTAAGGGAAGAGTGGCCCCTAGACTTAGACGTGCGTGGAGGAGAAGGTTAGGAGCATGCGAGCCCCAGAGTTCGTAGCGCGCCTCCCCCCCGTCCAGCCCCTAAGCCCTACGTCTTTCCCTCGCCCAGAATCCCGGACATCGTAGCTGTGATTGCAGCCCGCGAGGCCCTTGCTCGTTGTACACGACGCAATGAAGTCTGCAGCCAACTTGTTCGCGATGCTCTCAGCGTGCCGAACCATCAGGACTCTCCACAGACCTGTGCTGTTTGTTGCGCAATCCGAGGGATCGTTCCGCGGCCAAGCCCAGCCAGCGCCATCTAACGGTGCAGGGCAAAGTTTTAGCTCCTCAGCTCGTCGTTGCAGGCCGTCGGATAGTGAACACCAAGTGCCGCTGCTACTACCAACCAGTAGAGACAACAACATCACCAGCATTCTGAATACGAGACCTTGGGCGCGCATTGGGCCGGCACGGTTGAATCGATCCAACTTCTGAGCCAGAAGGCTACGGACTCAGGCATGATTGCACCCCGGCGGCAGGAGGCCCGAAGCAGCACAATGTGAACGAGCCAAGAGAGCACTGCGAGGCATCATTGAAGAGGCCCTGGGACACACAAATAAATACACACAAATAAAAATATTCCCTATATTTCCCCATATTTTCTGGGTTCTTGTCTTCCCGCCCAATTCCCATATTTTCCCATATTTTCTGGGGGATCGCCGATTAATTGTGTCTGTGTGTTTTTCCCTCCTGAATTATGCTGCATTGCACATGCGGGAGACCGTGCGGGAGACCATCTGGGAGACCAGACGAGAGACCACCACGGGGGACCATCGCGGAGACCGTGCGGGAGACCCCACGGGAGACCATCAGGTCACCGACTCCCCGGCCAGCAACGCCACCCTCCGCCGGGAGACAACTCGAGAGACCCTGCGCGAGACCACGGGGCCGGACCTGGGACAGGAGAACATCCTTCAAGCCCAAGGGAGGGCCACACATGTATCCAGGGGCGCCGATGGTCCATGCCTTCGGCGAGGCTCCCGGGCGAACACGTGCAATGCCCGCCCCAGGGCTATTCGCCCCTGTCGTCGCCGCCGATGCCATGCGGAGTTCACCACGCGGATGTCAGGGACCGGTCGGCCACACGCAAGAGTAGCCCCAGGCAGGAGTGGCCTTGAGTGTGCGGGCTAAGTGGGCGCAAGGTGGCCCAACCAAAGCGCGCAAGCAGTAGAGAGCACAAGATCCATCCTCAGAATAATCGCCCCGAAAAAGCGAAGCCGTTTCAGAAATGCGCCCAGGGAAGTTATCGAACAGGGCAGGGCTGTTTAGTAAAGGCCCAAGGCCGTTCAGCAAACGCCACTCATCGGGGTCGGGGTGGTCTCTCCTCCCTTGAAGCAGCCACTACCGAACTGGCCAAACTGAAGAACATTCGAGGGCACTTACCCTCCCCAAGGATGCACAGGAGCATCCAACAAGCACGAGGAGCATCAGGGCACCCTCTCAGAACCGACCTCGATCTGATATCTCGGTCGGACCGTGCAGGAGACGATGGCGTCACCAGTGTTGAGGCCGACGACGGCCCCCCCCCGTCCCCTCTTACGAGCCGTACGTACGCACAGAAGCCCTAACAGACAAACTACAGTCACGCAAAGGTTTCTGAAAACCGCGTCGATCGTTCGACCTTGAACCGATCGCGGCCCCGATCGTTCAAGATTGGATTTCGTCGGGTCATGTGGCGTTACCGTGCCCCTCCGTGCTTCCGCGTCGCAGAATTCAACCTTGAACACCTTCGCCAGCGTCGCTGGCGCGCCAACGCCGCACGAGCCTACCGTACCAGGGCTCCGGGACAAGCAGGCAGGCGCAAAGAGCCGCAGAGAGCAGCTCAGCACTGGAGCAGGTCCTGGTGTCGGAAAGAGCACAACCACAAGGAGGAGGAGGAGGAGGAGGAGGAGGCGGAGGAGGGCATTCTCGTCTCCGAACCTTCTATTAGCCACGAGTGGTGCGATAGGGATTCGGGCGACGGCCAACAGGCTTTGCCGACTAAGATGACGCGACAGTGCGAGAGACAAGAGGTAAGGACGATGGCAAGGCAGAGCACAGCGGGTGGCAGGCGGGGAAGGCTCAGCGGAGCCGACCAGACGGATGCCAGGCGCCGGGAGGGGATCCTCTTACGCCCAGCTGGCCCAGCACGCTGCGCCCGAATCGATTTTGAGCACCAGCATAAAAGAACCGGGTCCTGAGGGAAACGGGCCCTGGACCCCAGGGCCTTCAGGTCCCTTCCATCCTGAATCGTTTTCTGACAGTCCTGGGGACGTGGAGGGCCCCAGGAAGCCACAAAACATTGAAAAAAGCCTCCAGGACCCGATTCCCGCAGGACCCATCTCCTTCATGGCGACACTTGATCTACGTGCGTTTTGTTTATCTCGTCCCCCGCAACAGCAGCAATGATGAATGAGTGACCCCCACGGCAAGCCTCGCCACAGCGCGAGACGGGGCAGCGAATAGCGGCCGTCCACTCGCAGGTGCCCACGTGCAGCACTCAACTTTGACCTTGACACAAGGCGGCACGAGAGGCGAAACGAAACGAGCAGAGGTCTCCATCCACAAGTTCCCACCGCCCCATCATGTGCTTAGCTGCCCCGATACGCCGCAACACGCAACACGTAGCGTATTGATACGGAGCTCAACTCGTGGGCTGAAAACGTAGGTCCGACGCGATACTCTCGCCAAAACGTGGTCCAATACGTGGAGCAACTCGCAGCGCATTGACACGGACGTCGTGAACACGGGACGTATTGCGTATCAAAACGGGCGTATCGAGGCAACTAAGATAATGTGTGATCACGCCTCCGCCAGCACAGCGAGAGGAGCCGCACTGCCACCGCAAAAAGCGCCCCCCAGGCACGACTGGCGCGCAGCAGGCCTGCTATTATGCCCGCGGCCCCCCTCGAAAGAGGCGCGCCGTCGAGGCCGCGGGCAGTCGGGAGGGAGGAGCCGAGCGAAGCGGAGGCGGACGCGGGCCGGGGGGGAGGAGGAGGAGGAGGAGGAGGAGGAGGAGGAGGAGGAGGAGGAGGAGGAGGAGGAGGAGGAGGAGGAGGAGGAGGAGGAGGAGGAGGAGGAGGAGGAGGAGGAGGAGGAGGAGGAGGAGGAGGAGGGCCGGGGGGGGGGAAACAGAGACCACGAGCCCGTCGACCCCGGGGCGGCGGGCAGGTGCCCGCAGTCCCCGGGCCCGCCGCCTGCCTGGCTGCCTCGTGGCCGCAGGCCGCCTCGAGCGCCACGGAGCCTCGCGGCAGGCGGGGGCAGGACAGAGCGGGCAGAGGGGAGCAGGGCTTTGGTCAGGGGAGGCGGGCGGCGGAGGGGAGAGGGGGGGGAGGGAGGGGAAGGGTCAGGAACGAGGGGAGAGGAGAGGAGGGGAGGGAAGGGGCCAGGGACAGGAGTCTTCTCCCTCCTGCTTCCCTCTCCTTGACGAGCCAGGGGGCGCTGATGCGGCAAAGACGTCCTCTTGAGGAGGGTCGATGCACGAACTGCCTTTTTCCTTGCTGCATGTCTGCCGCACGAGCACGTTCCTCGGACACGAAACGAGATGCCGCTTACGCACGTGAACCGACCACCCAACGAATGCGGGGAATCGGTGCTAACCGAATGTGCACCACTCCATGCTGAGGAACCTGCTGCGGTAGACAAACTTGACGCGCTGGCGCGCCACTCCGCGCACAAGGCTGGGTTAAAACACCCCGCGGGGGGCTGCTGCCAAGGGTGACGGGAGACGCGTCGGCCGAGTGTTCCTGTAATTTGGGAGCCGCGAGCTGATTGCAACCGCATTTTCATACTTCAGCGACGCATCGAGCGCAGCGCAAGAAAAAAGGATAGGAGGTGATACATAGTTACAAGAAGGGCGGAGAGGAGCGGCAATTGAGATGGGAGGGGGAGACGGGAGGATGGGGATAGGGGAGGAAGGGGGGAAACAAGGGGGGCACGGGGAACGAGATCTGGACTGGAGTGGGCTGGGACGGGAGGGTGCTTGGTCGGAGAAGGGCCAGGGGCGGGGATGAGGGCGGGGGAGGGGGGAAGGCGTGGGCGAGTTATTTCAGCCACTTTTCCTCGACGACGCAACCTTGGAGCAGCATCTACGTCAAGCGGCATCCACGTCAAGGAGGGCGACCCTAGAATCCGCCGACCCTGTCGGCGTGTGACAGGGGCTGTACCGTCGCCATCGCCGTCGCGTCGCCGCCGCCATCACGTCCCCTCCTTGCCTGAGTCCGTCGCCGTTTCCTTCCTTCCTTCCTTTCCTTGGGCCCTCGTCCTCAAGCACGCCAGCCAAAGCGAAATACATCAGCCCATCCACAGCGAAATTCAGCAACTTTGTCATTGAGTCGAAGGGAAGCCCCTTCCCTTTGATCCCTTCCCCGCGGAAGGGGGGGGGTCCCAGTAGGGGGTCCCAGTAGGGAATCCCAAGGGGTGGTCCCGGGTCAGAATACCACACTCCCGGGGCGTGTCGGGAGCACCCTCTCCCTCCAATCTCCGTCGAGGGCCGAGGCCTCCAGGGTCGGCGGCACCAGCCGTAATGCCTTAGCAATAACGACAGGAAGACGTGGGCGATGGGGTAGGGGGCGGGGGCTGACGGGGCAGCGGCAAAGGCGAGGGCAAGGAGAGCGGGAGAAGAGCAGACTCGCAGGCCCAGAGAGGCCAAAGGCGTGCCAGACGCTCGACGGCACGAGAAGTGCGCAGACGACAGACGAGGTATCATCATTGCTCGTGCACGCCCAATGACTAGCTCGGGGGGGAAGCAAAACTGGCGGGCCTCGACGGGGTTCAAGTGTTGTCTAGCCTGTCGGGCACAGCCTCAAGAGTTCGTAAACATGGGCCCGAACGGCGCCAAGAGGCCGCCAATGGTCCTAAAAACAACCCATGTCAAACACGTAAAAGCTAGCTGGGCGCGTGATGATTGAATCTATGCTGAGAGTGTGTCAGACGCTGGCTGCGTTCTTGTCCAGTCCCTACGCGCCGCCACATGTTCGAATCCCTGCTGCTGGCCAGCGGTCCTCTGCCGAATGCGTGCCAAACCGTACGGCTGACAAAGCAGGACCAAGGCATCCCAGGACCCGCCCAGGGTAGCACCGGCGGCCTGGCAGCGGATCCGCCCAGAGCCTGCCGAAGCCAGAGCCTCCAGCTGCACCCCATCGAGGGAAACGTGGCAGCCACGAGCCCCCACGTGGCAGCCACGAACCCCCCCCGAGAGTCCGAGCAGATGGGGTCGTAGGATCGCGCCGCATCGCTGATACATCGGCGATGCATCGGCGTTGCATCGGCAATGCATCGGCGATGCACCGGCGATGCATCGCCGACGTGGGCGATGCACCGGCGACACCGACGTGAAGCAAATCGGGCTCCACATCGAACCGCATCGCCGATGCACTGGCGATGCATCGGCGATGCGTCGAGATCCTTCGACCCACATCTGCCCCGACCCTCGGTGCTTCCTTGGTGCTTGAAGCTCTGGCGATCA